ACTAAATTCTTTGAAAACACATTTAAGAGCTGCATTAAAACAGAATAAGGTTAGGATTTGAAAGCTTGAACAAATAGGTTAAATATAAAAATTTTTGTATGTATTAATCACACTTTCTCTCTAGGATTTATTGGGATATAACTTAGCGGCACTTAAATATATTAAACGTGTTTGGGAAAACAATAATACACCAGAATTCTTTGATGATATACCTAAGAATGATGAAATAGGTTCTGGATCATTGACAAAACGGAAATTTATAAATTTGACAGTATGACACTTGTACTGTATTAAATTTATTACCTATAAAAAATCTTCTATAATAGCTATTGTTATTGACATTTACTAAATTTATTATAAATATTTTTTAGCAATAAATCGAACTTTAGCTTCAAATGTCATTGATGTGATTGGTGTGAAGTTTATAGAAAGGATTCATTAGCATCTAATTATTAAAGAATAAATTTATCATTTAATTTGACTTAAATATTTTAAGATAAAAAGAAAATGCAATAGATAATCAACACACCTTAATGTAGAGTTCGTAGCATTCATTAAAAAAATTTCGGATACTCTCTTCGTTTTTTGTTTCATGTAGTAGCATGAGTTTAATGTCTTTAAAAGGTCGAGTAATTATTTACGTATAATAAACTTTGCCGAAATGTTTTATTAAATACATCGTATTTTGATTATGTAATTTAAGTAAGGATACTTCCGGCTATAACAAAGGCTGATACATAGCATTCATTAAACTTATCATCAGATTTTAAGTACCTGAATACAAAATATATAATTTTATTTTATTTTATTATTATTATTTAAAGGACATTCAAGCCCGTCAAAAAAGCATTAGATAGATAAAAAATGTACATAGTATTAGAATGCTATTGTAACTCTTCTACAAGATCTAAGGCAGAATTTACAATAAATTCATTTAAGATAATATAACAAAATTTTACTAATGCAAAATACTTGCTAAAATTCCTTTTTTTAAATCCCACACGGCTACTGCTTCTAATGCAGGAATGCAGGGGCGACAGCAAGCGCACCGTCCCTAGAATAAATTACGTTTGAAGTTGTTCTAGTTACGACACCAAATGTTTTCCATGGCTCGTATCTTAAACAAGACTTTATCATTTTTTTTCGAAAAAAAATTGAAATCCACGTGATCATTAATCTTATTGAAATCCACGTGATCATTAATCTTTAATTTTGGTATTTATATTTGCAATATAACAATTGAATAACGATAATAGATTCATTTAATTCATATGATTTAACTTGTAAATTATTATTTTATTAATTATTTTACCTACGAATTAACCTCTTATCTCAAATAATCAAACCTCTTAAGATTGCATGAGCAGTAGAAGGAACTTAATTGTAAAAAATCAAATTTAATACACGTATAAATTTTTTTATTGAAGTTCACATAAATGTTTTCAAGATTTTCA